ATTGCACTGAGTTCCTGTTTCAATTATCATGTCATCTCGCGTATCATTTTTTTACGACCATGGTAACCAGTTTCAGTCAATACGAAAGTAGAAACCCTGAATATGACAGGAAACTTAGGAAGAATTTGGACCTTGAGTGAAATTGCATACCCTGTTTATGACAAGAAGCTCGAAAAACCATACCTTGTTCAGTGGATCATCCCCGTATAGTTCATATATGGGAGTAACCCCCCCCGGGCATTCTATTAATGTAGTCGACTCTTAATCTCAATAAATCAATATCCACTACATCCTGGAGCTCATTGATAGCATCAATTACACTTCGCAGCGAAAGCTGCGCCATTTTGAATTACAAATTCGAATAAAATTTACACAACTACTACCCCCATGGAATAATTTTAGCTGTACAGCCGGGTTACCTGTGGATTGTTACGTCATACTGACACTCGACACTTTTTGGCGGTCGTGGTAMGCACAATGATACTCAACTTTCAAGATGACTGAATTTGATTTGAAACAGTGATGTTGAAGGACGAGGCTTTGAAAGTTGTTTGGAAAACTTGAATGTTGATGCATAAAGTTGAGTATTGGAGGACGAAGTTTTAAAAGTTACAGGCAAAACTTGAATGTTGAGGCATGAAGTTGAATGTTTCATGTCAACATTGAATTTTGGCGGGATTGGAACGCCATAATTTAAAACGTCTCGATGAATTCTTTTATTTTGAAAAGATAAAAGAAAAGAATTGGTCAATTATACATTGATTATCGAAAAGGAAGTATTAACCAGTAATTGTCCTTGCGATGATCTTATTCGATCCGGTGTGTCACAGAACTGTGATCAAGAAAGAGGCAGTAAACAAGAAGTTGCTAACTGAATAAGTAGAATATTAAAGCAGTAAGATCATGTTTAAATGGCTTTTAAAAAAACGAAAAAGATAATTGAAAAATTCGCGGAAGAAAATGTGGGAAAAAAGGAATGCATGCAGAATGATGGCACGGGTATTCATGCTGATATATACAACAACATTCAAATCACAATTCAGTCTCCAGCAAATAGTCTATATACAACTTGATGACAATCTTCTAACAAGTATTTTTTCCCTCCGCGCAGGAATCGTTAAACCAGACATTGAACGGGTAATCTTCTTGTGCGCATGTACAGGCGTTTTTTTCTATTTTTTCTGATCGCTGTAATTTTTCTGTTCTTTCAAGCAATCCCAGTCTTTTTTCTTGATAGCTGAACTTGGTGACTTCTCCACACCCTCTCGCGTAAAAGAACCAGCTGATTTGAAGATAGCCGTTGCCAGAGCCACGGATCCAATCTGATGTAACTTACACCTGACTTTGATTTTCTCAAGCGTTTCCGAGTTGCTCTCGAAACCACTACTTTGTACTACAACAGGCGTTTTCCTTCCATTCTTGACTTTCCATACCTCTTCGGTTTCACAGTGTTGATTGTTGGTGAGAGGAAATGAAAACCGAACCGCTTTGCAATCCTTTCTTATGGGATGCTTGGTTCTTCCACGATGCAAACATGACTTGGTTTCATGAAGCGGCTGACGTGATGGAGTACAAATCCACTGATTATGAATACTTTTGTTATCATTCGTTGTTGTTATTTTTGCTGTTAAGTCACTGTCACCTGGCAAAACCACTTTAGGATTCCCGTACAAAGATGACAGAGCTGAATTAGTTTTGTTATTTCCAGGAAATGGTGGTGCAGTACCAGACGCCACTGTTGGTAGATCTGATTCCTGTACAAAGCTCGTCTTGTGCAGTCGAATGCTGAGTCTTCGGCCATTATTGATTGCTGAGAGAGATTTGTTTAGTACTGGTCTGGACTGCGTGGTGTCACCAGATTCTTGAGCTACACTTCTCGGCGATGTTTGCTTTTTCGCAGTCTTTATCGGCGTTGTTCCTTTTGACGAGCTACTCTCCAAGTCGAGATTTATCGCTCTTAAGCTTCTCACCAGGCTCTCCTTGACCAGAATAATTTGCCTCAATTCTTTATCCACATAGTTTTGCTCTCTGTTATAGAGTCTTATTTTTTCTTGCAAGCTTCTTTCTTCAAGGCTGTTGCGAATTTGCATTCGTTTCCGTTGTGAGAGACTAACAGACATGTAGTATCTGACTCGTATCAAACGCATAGAAGTGTGGGGCGCCCCTATATAATAATAATAATAATAATAATAGAGGTAGAGGCCCCTTGCAAGCTTCTTTCTTCAAGGCTGTTGCGAATTTGCATTCGTTTCCGTTGTGAGAGACTAACAGACATGTAGTATCTGACTCGTATCAAACGCATAGAAGTGTGGGGCGCCCTATATAATAATAATAATAATAGAGGTAGAGGCCCTAGAGGTATTTTTAGACAAATTTATCAAATTTTAATTCTCAGCAAGTCATCAAATCCAATCAAGATCAATTTTCTTTTCAAATCGGTAAGTGCAATCACTCCACTAACAATCAAACAATAAATCTTATTCGGTTTATTTAATTAAACGTTTGTGCTGGTGTCTCTGAACAATAGAAAAATATTTATTAAAAATTACGATCAATAGACTCAAGCCGGCAAAGTCGGCCCAAAACCTGCCAGAAATGCCTTCAAGATTATGCGAGGAACAACGAAGACGGTCTGGTTTTTTATTAGCTGTTTCGGTCTTTTGAATGAGAGCATCAACACTCCTAACAAAAACAAAACTAAACGCAAAAATAAAAACAAACAAAAACGAAAAACGAAAAAACAAAACAAAACAAAACAAAACAAAACAAAACAAAACAAAACAAAACAAAAAACAATTGTGTGTTCGCAAGTTTTTAGCAGTTTAATACAGTGTAGTTAAGATAAAATGAGTTCGTTTTCTCTTGGTGAAGTAGTGTGAAGAACAAAACCATTTATTTTGTGTAGTTTTTGGTCAGTGAGTCCCTTCAAACTCATCCCCACTCCCCACGCTCTCAAAACAGGGAAAACCGACTCGACTCGACTCAGTCAGCAGGAAAAGGTTAACAGTCTAGAGGCCCATTAATAAAAAAATTTCTGTTGAAAAAGTTCTGTTCACATGTTGTGAAGCCACGACACAGAGCTGAGAGGCGGCGTATTAGCAGCATTCCTCTCATTGATGGGTTGTAAGCATTCCCAGGAGAGCAATAAGACAAAAACATGTCGATCATTTTGTTGCGATTACCAATGCCAATCGGGTGTTGTCCAAGGGGTATTTAGTATGTGCTTTGAAGTACGGACTGCACCTTGCATACACCACTTTATTTTTCATAATTTCAGATTCAGTTTTCTGATTGAGAAAATGAGGCCTTTTTTACCAGAAACTATCAATGCTATTCAGTTGAGAAAGTACTTCATGAAAACAGAAAATTTTACAGAAAATTTTGTTAAATTGACTGAATACCAAAAAAGCTATGAGAAATAGAAAATAGAGATTTTTTTCTGTATCTATTACTGGAAGCCTCGATAGCCCCTTGGCTTCGCCTCGTGAAACATCGCCGTCTCGGGATCACGAAACATCACATTGTTTCTCTCGGTCCCAGTCAATAAATGTTTAAAAATATATAACCAATTGAAGCGAGGAGTTTACACCTGCTGGGTACTCAAAACGCCGTCCATGACAGCCCTAGAGCTATCCTAGTATCAGAGTATACAAGATTAGGCGACAACAATGAAAGCCAAAAGACTTTTTATTATATATCGGAGAGTATAGTTTAAAATATTCGAGCACTCCAGCAAAGAGTATACAAGCAGTTACAACTGTGCTTGAATTGGTAATAAATAATAATACTAATAACACATAAATACATTGATTTCCAACCGCCTAGACCACGTGCACAGCAGAGCGTATTTATTATGATAACACATCTACAAAAAAAATTTCTCAATCTGTACACTTTCATCAAATAACCGTGGTAATTAACAATTATTTGCCGAAGGCGAAGCGAATATAGGTAAATATTCACAATAATCATATTGAGTCTGAAGTGAATAATTGTTTTAGTACAATTTTAGATTTGAATATCAGAGAAAGACGAAATTCTTTTGCAAACCTCATAATCACCGCTCGAGCAGTGAATATGGTCTCAGAATCACTGGTCTCTCGACCAATCACAGCGCGAAAAACTATACTCAAGTCTAATGCTCATCAATTTTTCTCGTACGGTGGAAGTTTCGGATCTTTCTTGGTGTCGCAAGGCACCATGAAGAAAATAGAAAAATAGCCAAGGATGATGAATTTGGAGCTAAACAATATCCTGCAAAACAAAAGCCCTAACCCAGAATACAATAAAGCTTGCTACACCAAGAAAGACCCGTATTCCCTATTTCATGAAAGTGTAATTTACTCTGAATCTGAATTGCTTTCCAAAAGTGAAAGACTGTTTTGTCGAGCTTCTCGTTATTTCATTGTTTTTTATAAAAATATTTTGTTCTTTTCAAATTACGTTTATTTGTATTGCGTTCTAATTATCCCACGATCACTTATTCAACTGTCAACTAATTTAATTCGTAGCAACTCTTTACTGGACACGTTTAAATCATAGTAAATAGCGTATGGTGTAAGACAGTCGATAGATTAACAAACAACCAAAAGCATTTACAGGCGGTATACAAAAAGCATACAAATGACAGTAAATATTCTTACTCAAGCTAAGTAGTACCGATAGCGGATTCAGTATGTTTTACCGACTAAACTTACTGGTATGATGTCATGAGGAACCTACCACTCTTGACCAGTATTGGATCCTGATGTCACGTGCTGGATTGGTCCAAGATAGACCAATGAGCATACTGCAAGTCCATGCTTCTGTTCGTTTTACAAAACGCACTGCATCCGCCCTTGAATACTACTTTATATTATTAACTTTCTATTAATTTCATTGGTAGATAGCATCTTCAATATAGACGAAGAGCCATCTAGTGGAATCTATTCGATAAATTATTATTATTTAACAATTATTTGCCGAAGGCGAAGTGAATATCGGGGAATGTTTACTGAACTGCGAGTCCTTGTGCGGCGAGGTAAAAATTCTTCATATTCACTGAGTCTGAGGTGAATAATTGCATTAGTATCATTTTAGACTTGAATATCAGAGAAAAGGCGAAATCAGTTCAAGATTTAAAAAAACGTTTTCTTATTACTTCTGCTCTTGTTTACGAAACCTCATAATCACCACTCGAGCAGTCATTATCGTCTCTCATAATCACCACTCGAGCAGTGATTATCGTCTCTTATAATCACTGGTTGCCCGACCAATCACAGCGCGCGAAACTCTATATTCAAGTCTCAAATTATGCTAATTATTTATTTAACATAAGCCGTGTTCTAATTCATTATTTTTAGTAGAAGTATCATTAATAATATTATTACTTACTAGGAGAGTACATTAGAGTTGCAAACCATATATAAGTGAAATAGTGAAGTGGTTTTCGAAAACCCGTGAAACAAGTACTAGCGTATTTAGCAGTAATACACTTCATTATTATGATTTCATTGATTATTCTTGTCGTATACCGGAATACAGCATGAAGTCTATCACTATATGTAACATACACACTAATACGCTTTAACACAAGTGATTTGATAGTAACTAAGAGTAATTGTTTCACGGGTTTATGACCACTCTAATAACTAATAATACAAAATAGCAAAATAGCTTGAAACAATATTTGAAAACAAAAAATACGTGTGTAGTGCTATTTAGCTTTTGTGCTATTTCACGGATATAGTTGTTTGCACTCTACTCTAATATAAAATGATACTAGTATTAGATGGTTACACGGGGTAGTTCATTTCGATGGCTTAGATGCTAATAGCGTTAGGTACTTCCTTGGGAGTAAGGTAAGGATACGGAAAAGGCCTCTTCTTGTTTCTCTCTTCAAGGAGTTGATCGATTTCAGCGAGTCTTCTGCGGAAACTACAAAACAAAAAGTAAAGAATTCTCATTGAATAAACATCAAGACAACAGTGACAATATTTCTTCAGTACCAAAGCTACTGACTTTGAATAAAGCAACTGGTAAGCTAAAAACTTTATTAAAACAAATAATAAAGGCTGAAGACTGATCATCCCAATTATTTATTGCAATAATTATCCATTACTAAAGATTCAAAAAAATAATTTTTTATCACCAAAAGTTCTTATTATTCTTACTTTTCAACAGCTTTGACTCCTATAGGGTCGTATTGATATTGGACCTCGAAGTCAGCCAGAGCGTTAGTGCCACGATCGCTAAGTATCTTTGTCACCAACATGATGTCAAGAGTCATGTCCTTCAGAGGAAGATGATCAATGATGTCTTGCTCTGTTAGTTCCTCCTAAAAAACAAATGGTTATACGACGTTAATGCTTGGAAGGGTGTCGTATGTGGGAAGAGTCTCTTGTAGGTTTTCTCATGTGCTTTCAGGACTTTTTCTTCGGGTTTTTTCTCCCGAAAAATAAACTTTTAAATTTCAAACGAGATTTATTAGAAGTAGAGGCACTCAGCAAAGCAGAGCTAAGGTCCATCCTCAACCTTCCAAAGGATATAGTTGGTTTGTCATCAATTCCAAAAGTATAAAATAACATGACATATAAATGGCCAATATGTTGATTGATACAATAAAAGAAACAACAAAACGTTGCGCCGGTCTTAACCAGCATATGTGTCGGTAGCTACCGAGAGGCTAGCGATATTTAATCCGATCAAGATTAACTTTATATTATATAAGATGTATACACGCAAAAGTTATAGAGACCAGGACGGTAAAACCAGACTTCAATAATAATAATTGGATAGATAAAATCTCATTTGATTGTAGAGTGATTACCTTGCTTGTAGGAGGCTTGCCCCTAAGGAATGCTGGGTAATTTGGTGGGAATGCATACTCGTCATACTGAGCAAAGTTAGCAGCAGCATGACCAACGCTGTTGATAAAGATGATGCTTGTGACGGTCTTGATGAGATCTTCAAGTTCTGTGAACTTACCATCACCAAATACGCCCTGGAATAGCGATAACAGCAATTTTACAGTCCTTCATTAGAAAGGGTGAACCCGTTAGTGAAGTATTTTCTGCAATAATAACTGAGAAATACCATCTTACCAGCATCCCAAGTCCATCATTCTTATCAGCAAGCATGTGACCCCAGTTCTGGATTTCATAATCGTTAATTAACTTGTCTGGCGTATCTGTCAAAAACATCAGAAATGAGTGCATGAGTAAATGGATGAGAATGAATCGGGTGGATCGTGGATAGATGATTGAATGGATGGAACGCGGTTAATAAACCTTGCTACTTCCCATCTGCTACGTTCGCGATAAATACAAACGCTTTATGAAAAACTTAGAAAACCTAGTTAAATGGTTGGATGGATGGGTGGATAAATGGATGGGTGGGTGAATAGAAGGAAGGATGGAAGCATGGATAGATGGATGGATGAATGAGAGGTTTGGAGGATGGATGAGTCGGCTGCTGGATGAATGGATGGATGGATGAGAGGTTTGGAGGATGAATGGATGAGTGAGTGCATGGATGGATGAATGAGAGGTATGGAGGATGAATAAATGAGTGAGTAGATGGATGGGTGGAGGGATGAGTGGTTTGGTGGATGAATAAATGAGTGAGTAGATGGATGGGTGGATGAATAGATGAGTGATTGGATAGATGGATGAATGAGAGGTTTGGAGGATGAATAGATGAGTAAGTAGATGGATGGGTGGATGGATGAGTGGGCGTAGATGAATGGATGGATGGATGGATGAGGGGCTTGGAGGATGAATGGGTGCATGGATGAACAGGGATTGCGAAGCTAGAGAGATTTAGGTTGGTTGGTTGGAGGGGGTGAATGAAAACAAAAAGATGAATTGCATTACCGTAATGTCCTTGCAGAACTTCCCGCACGTAATCCCAAATAGCTTGATGAATCAAAAGAGCATCATCTCTGTATGGATAGTTAGGCAAGGCTTGGGTGTCATCAACCTGACAATCAAACCATTCAAACAGTCACTTAAAAATCCAAGGCATCTGCACCGTCCGCACAATTAGTTATTGTAGAAGAACCAAGCAATTACATTCCTTACAAACCAAAAGCTTGGCATCTTGAGTAATAATAAAACAATCAATGAGTTTGGGATAGACTCATGTCGGAACACATTGTGTTAGGTTAATAGATATTCTCTATATCTCATTTAGACAGGTATTTACTAGATGTTCATAAGCTTTTCTGTTAGTTACTTACACCTCTTTCTTCAAGCTCTGCTGGTAACCACCCCTCAACATTCATGTGCCAACTTTGCCAGCTGTAAAACACAAAATTAATGCTGCTTATGTACTATCATTAATTTTATCCTGTTTTGGGTTTATGTATATCAAAACAGGAAATATGATTGAGGATAGAATTAAATAGACATTTTGAACAAGGGACCCCAGAAGAATCAACTCCAAAGGCAGGGGATTTGACCATTATTTTTAATCTAAGAAGAATGCAATAATGTAGTCTGAAATTAACTCTCAAGAAACAAGAATGTCTAGTACATAATTATTGCATACTACCATTTTTCGTTTTCTTGTTTTCTTAAGATTCTGTCATAAAATCGTTAGATTCCTTAATCCCTACCACACTTTCTCTTAAAGGGAGGGGAGGGAGGGGGGTATTGGGGCATGCATACTGGGTTCTTTGGACACTGTCTTACCAGGATCCACAAAGCTGAAGGAGAGCCTGGGCACCAGTTGTCATGCAGACATCAATCCATCCTTCAGGAGAAACAAGTTTGGCCAATGCAAGTCTGCAAGAATTCACAAAAGAACAATCAACATGTAAGCTACTTCTGTATTAAACTCTAATGAAATGACAAGAAGGAATTCAAGAATGGACTGACTGACTTCAAATGCATGCCATCAAAATAGAAAGAATTTCTTTTCTCAATTGTCAAGCTAGTGATTTGGAGTGACACCCCTAGCTGAATGAACATCTTACTACTAGTAGCAGGTTTAAGATTATACTAACGAGTTTATAGCCAACAGGTATAGGAAGTGAGGAGCCAACAGCCTGAACACTGGGTGGGATGGAGATAACTGTCTGTGTGTCCCAACACATACTGTCTCGGCCACCAGATGGGTAAAACCTGCAATGGAAAAATATCAACTTCTAGTTAGGATCAGGCATTCCACTACTGGCTGAGAACCTGTGAAAATCCTGTGAAAAACCTGTGAAAACACAGGTAACATCAAAATGACCTGTTAAAAAACCCGTGAATTTTACACGGCCGATTTCATGTTGATTCTTGGAAAAATCAGTATTATATTAATTCCCTTGTTCTGAAGTTTGAACAACAAGTGATTATACCAACCAACCAAGACCACCCAGACCAATTTTCATAAATTTTTGAAACCTGTGAAAAAACCTGTGAACATTTTAAACCTGTGTGGGAAAAACCTGTGAATTTTATTTTCCGTGGAGAAACCTTTGAAAAACCTGTGAAATTGGACATGATAAAAATACAGAGATATTTTTCACAGGTTTTTCACAGGTTCTCAGCCAGTAGTGTTCAGTAGCTTGATGCTACAATAAATTTAAAAAAATATATATAGGTGACTGGCTTACCAAGGTGAGTGCAAGACTGGTGATATGCTGCATCAGCATTGTTATAGTACATTTTGGCTAACATCCAGGTGTATGGTGGATCACTTGGCAAAAATACCTAAAAAAAAACAATTATGCAGGTCTTTGGTGTGTAGCTAGGCTCTCACATGATACAGGAAAAGTATCAATTAAGACGGGCACTGCTAAACAGCGAAACACCGAAACAAAACACCGGAGCGAAACACCGGAGCGAAACACCGGAGCGAAACACCGGAACGAAACAGAGACAAATTCGTGATATTACAAATATCATGCAATAAAAAAAGAAAAGAAAAGAAAATACACGATAGTACAATGATACAAAAGCGATAAAACTTAGCTTTATGCCCGTGCTTTATGATCTGTGATCCGTATCGATCGTTTATTACCTTTTATAAACAATGTCGTTTCGCTGTCTATCAATGCAATTCTCTCTCGAATTTGAAGGATTCCAATGGATCTTTTAATAAAACAAGCATTAGTCTTAACTGCTTCTGTCTCTAGTATCTACACCAAAAAAATTGTGAARRAAAGCTRARGCCCTCGGGCGACRCCATGTTTATTTAAACAAAAGCACAGGAAGCCYCAAAGGAAACCCAACAATTTCGGGGCCTAAAAAGGCACATCTCTAATCCCTAAAAAATCCGAAAAGTTTTGTACATGATCCTTTTTAGACAATGAAACTCGGATCTCCAAGCCCAAAATTAGCTAAAATGTGATCCCTGAGCCCCAAAATAACGSCGATCATTGATCGTATATACTTCGTTTTACTTACTAATCTGATAMAGTACTACAATAAGCATTTTTTTATTAGCATTGTACAGAGTCGCTATAGGTAATGGTAACTTGCGAAAACAACCTTAAGCTTTCCATCTTCTTGTCTATCATTATTTAAAACACTAATAATCACCACCTGCAGTTTAGGAAATGATATTTTATGACAGATTCCTTTATCAAAATGTTGGGTCTCCTTTGTCAAGAGCTG